CCCCAAAACCCCAAAACCCCAAAACCCCAAAACCCCAGAATATAATATTTTGTTGAAAATTAAAAACCGTAAATGAACAGAATAAGCTTTTATGATAACTTATGAGTTAATGAAGATTTACTTGGATATAAACAATTTAGATCAAAATTTGCAGCTCCAGAGGTGCTAATGCTACTAGAAGGTAAAAGTAGAAAATTACTTAAATCAAAATTAAACTTTCCCTTAAAGCAATACTTTCTCTAACAAGCCCTCCCTTATAATATCCCAAGATGTATCATAAACTCATGGTTACTGAATCTTTACGAAATCAAGAAAGTCTGGTTTAATATTTGGGAATGTATGTCCACCTATACAATACCACAAAAATCTTTCTAAATGTCTAAAATTCTCTTGGCCCATGTTTCTCATGAATATTTCTAAGTCGCTTCCTGAACGCTTGTGGTAAAAGTTTTTGAGGGTCTTCATACTGAGGATGGCTTCAGTAAGAGCATCTTTGTGAGGCTTATAGAATGTCTTAATCACTTTGCTGTAAGTGTTAAGGCAGAGATCTGTGAGATTGAGTTCACTGTATTTTTGGATCACTTTTAATTGAGATTTCTAGAAATTAAATGAAGAAGAAAATCAAAACATACTGATTCTGATAAAGTCAAGTCTAAGTTTAGTCTAGCAAAGTGTTTGCATGCTTGGAGTTTTTCAAATTCAGTTTTGTTGAGTTCTAATGATACATGTAAAGGACCAATTACTTTCGTTATCTCATTCGATGTCTACGACAAGATCCGAATTTATGACTACTTGTAGTGGCTCTTCTGGTTTTCTTGACTTTTTCACTTTAATGAGTTCCTCATTTTCAAGTGCAACTTGCTTTGTATCTTGTTTCGTTAGTTCCTTCATTTCTTCTTTTCCTTCTTCTTTTCCTTCTTCTTTTCCTTCTTCTTTTCCTTCTTCTTTTCCTTCTTCTTTCTTTTCTTCTTTTATTTCTTCTCTTGCATCTTCTTTTGCTTTTTCGGTCTTTTTAACATCAACAAAGTTAAGAGATCTGATCGCTAACGAGCCTCTTACATAACTAAACTTGTTATTTTCAATGACAAAGGCTCTCCCAGTTTTATCTAACTGCTTTATCAGCTTAGCAACTATAATAACTATATTAGACATCCTCGTCTAAGCCATTGCTTACTTTGACTCTTCTTTCTTTTGGTAATTTGTATATCTCTGACATGAGTAATCTCTTTCAAGTCCATTTGACTAACTCAGCTAAATCCTATAAATTCTTTGTTGATAATAAATCTCTTCTCTGCTCCTGAACCCTAATAAAAATTAATGGAATATTTAAGAAGCAAGCTTACTTGGTAATTTGAGTTTAGCATGAGATATCAGTTGAATCTAGATTTAAGCCCAATTCTTACTTTTTAATTTTCACTCAGATTAGTTCTCCTGCCTTATTAAGTCAATAGGCAAATATTTTATTAGATACAAAACTTTTAACTGTCCTAGTGACTTTGTTTTGCCTCTTGACTTCATATCTGATAGATCCTCCATCGTGAATAGTTTCAATAAGCTCTAAAGCATGGGGAAAGATTCTTACTAGAAAAGGATACTTTATTTATGTTCTATTATATAGTCAACACACTGGAGTTGAGGAAATATGTTCTTAATCTTCTCATAAGGGCAAAGATCTAAATATTCTTCCATTCTAGTACCCTCTTCTCTATGAATGATAAAGATGTGGATAAGCATATTTACCTTGAGAATATGTTGTAGTATCCTAATGGTCAGTAGAGGTACACCTTTTTCACACTCTTTGCTAAAGCATCTACAAGATTTTAGATTTTAAATTATGTCCAAAGTGAGATATAAATAATACCAATCTTGTGCATATACAAAAAACAATACCTTTGTTAGTGTTTGCATCTAATAAAGATTCCATCTGAGAAAAATTCAAGCCTAGCTCTTCAATTTCTGGCTCTTTCTCTTCGATAAATTTCACTATGAATGTTAGAACTAATAATAACTGGAAAATCTTGAGAAAAACTTACAGTCAGATTCAAAGTTGTTTTGAATCATGAAAAAGGACTTGATCTTCTTACAACATAAATAAATCCTACTCTTTGTGCTAGAGATATTTAGGTAATTTGCAAAGTATTGCTTTAAAGTAGACGTAATCAAAATAGCCGCTTATACTTCAACATAAAGCAAAGATTAAGTTAATGACTAAATGCAACAAACTCAGCATGAATACTCATTTCCCTTTAGTGTTAAATCCAGATCCCATTTAAAAATATCTAAGTGTTAAAATTCGAAAATGCACAAATCTGATAAATCCCGAGAGTGATCTCATATAAAATGACTCACTCGCAAATGCGGCTATACTGGACTCCTTGCTCTAAAAGATGAGTGGTCTGCTTACTGAGCATGTTGGATGCCAAATAGTGGTACTGGCTTTCTCAAATTTCGAACTTAGAGGCATCAATGCCCTTTTCAATAAGGAGATTGTACAGTGAGTCGACCTTGTTCTCGATATTTCCGTTGAGATCAGACTGGACTAGCAGGGATTTCAAGTCTACATTGATTAGGAGCAGTTGGTCAAGGCTTACTTAGAGAAGAGGGGTGGGATAAGTTGTTTAGGAATTTTACGAAAATTTTATAGCTATTTTCTCCAGGAATTAGAATATCCAGCCGATACCCCAAGTATCTATTATCCTTCAATAAATACTCTGCCAATTCACTATCGAACGCCCTACGATAAGTCAAGACCTTCTTATCAAGACTAAGTCTCATCCTAAAAGCTTTCTTGTTCTCCAACCAAACTTCCCTGACTCTTCGACTAAGTCTGGCCATAAGATCATTACATTCTGAGTAAGTACCATAGAATAGAAGGATAGTGGAGCAGTGGCTAAATTTTGAAAGGAGGGCTTGGAGAGGGCTAGGGTGAGAGATTGAGGGAGTATCTTCCATTTTGAACCTTTTTTGATAAATTCTATTTGATCCAAGTATTTTGGGGTTTTGGGGTTTTGGGGTTTTGGGG